CGGAGGAGGTGGATGAGAAGGTGCTGCACGCCGCCTTCATCCCCTTCGGGGACATCACGGACATCCAGATCCCGCTGGACTACGAGACGGGTGCGTGAGCCGGGGGTGGGCTGGTCCCGGGGGGACGGGACCCACCCGCTGCTCGGTCGCTGTGGGACCGGTGTGTCTTTGTGCCCGTGACCGCTCGTTTCTCTCCTCCTCTCCAGAAAAGCACCGGGGATTTGCCTTCATTGAGTTCGAGCTGGCGGAGGTGAGAACGGGGCAAATGCCCGAGCTGCTTTGGCTCTTCCTGCTCGGGGGTTTTGGGGCTGGAAGAGCCACTTCCAGCCACTATCAGTCGGGCCACGAGCACTGGTCGCCTGGATCCAGTGGGATGGGCAGAGCAGGCATTTGGATTCGCAGCTTTTCCCTGCCTCTGCTGATGGCTTTAAGGGGTGGTGGGGTGTCCCTGTCCAGGCCAAGCACAAGGTTTTTGGGGAGTATCTGTGCAAAGGTGGGGGGTTGAGGTGTGGGGCAGGGGGTGCCAGCCACTATCAGTCGGGCCACGAGCACTGGTCGCCTGGATCCAGTGGGATGGGCAGAGCAGGCATTTGGATTCGCAGCTTTTCCCTGCCTCTGCTGATGGCTTTAAGGGGTGGTGGGGTGTCCCTGTCCAGGCCAAGCACAAGGTTTTTGGGGAGTATCTGTGCAAAGGTGGGGGGTTGAGGTGTGGGGCAGGGGGTGTAGGAGCAGCGTTGAGCCCACGAGCTGCAGACATGGTTGGTGTCTTGGGCTTGGGGATGCTTCCCTGGCACACGGCTCGGTTTGGCTGCTGCACCACGGTGTGCTCAAGGGCGTGCAATGGGAAGGTGCCTCTCCATGGTGTCACCAAGATAGTGCCCCTTCCCCCTGCACCCCTCCAAGCCCTGCACAGGGTCCCCCAAAACCAGAGCACATGGAGAGCCCAGGCAGGGAGGAGACCCACACCCTCGGGAGGAGGTATGGGTGATGGATGGCCATGGAGGCATCTCCCAAGTCCTCTCCATCCATCCTGGCATCCCCTGACCAGGGTGGATGTGAAGAGGCCAGGGAGATCGCTGGGACAGAACCCACTGCTCCAGGCAGTGGTCAGGGTGCCCATGGGTACTGGGTTGAACCCAACACTGACCAGTCCCCTATGACTGACCCATGTCCCTCAGCACTATGTCTACACGACTCTTCAATCCCTCCAGGGATGGGGACTCCACCACTGCCCTGGGCAACCCCTTCCAATGCCTCAGAACCCTTTCAGCAAAGAAATTCTTCCTCACATCCCATCTCAACTGCCCTGGCCACAAATGGAGCCCATTTCCTCTTGTCCTGTCCCTTGGTCCTTGGTTGAACAGACCCACCCCCACCTCTCTCCACCCTCCTCCAAGGGACTTGCCCAGAGCCAGAAGGTCTCCCCTCAGCCTCCTTTTCTCCAGGCTCAACAACCCCAGTTCCCTCAGCCATGAACTCATCACACTTGTGCTCTCTTCCCCTTCTCTTTGTGGACAGCAGTGGTGCAGATGATGGGAGCAGGCAGAGGTTACCAGCCCAAACTGCATCCCTGCTGTCCCTGGAGCTCAGTGGCAGTGAGTGGGTTTCTTGGCTTCATGGGCAGCACAAACTGTCTTGTATCTGCTATCAAGGCAAATTAAAAAGGATAAAGTTAAATCCACTTATCTATCCTGGGCTTCCTACACAAGATCTCCTCTCCCAAACGCTGGTGTAAGTGATAAAGCACCATACAAGAAATGGGTTTACTAGGTTGGCTGTGGGAAGATGAGCCCCAGACACCACTTCAGATAGAGCTCTTGTAAGATCCATCAGTTCATACAGCCCTGGGGTAGGGGAGGTTTAGGAAAACAGTCCTTTACCAATGTTTTTAGCAACAAAATGCTGGGGTGTGTCTGTGCTGAGCCTTGCTTTTAAAGGTAGAGAGAGAAAAAATGCTAATAATTAATGTTCTTTTGCTTTTTTGGCAGGATGCAGCAGCAGCTATTGACAACATGGTACGGACCCTATTCCCACTCTCCTGTGGAGACACGTGGCTTTGCCATCTTCCCAGTAGCACAGAGCCAGACCCTGTGTAGCGTGGGCTACCTGGAGAAAGCAAGCTGTGTTTTCCTCTGAGCTCTGCGGGGATTTGGGGGACACTGTGATTTTTTTACTTTTTGGGGGGCTTTGATGTGCTTTTTTCCTCTGCAGAATGAATCTGAGCTCTTTGGCAGGACAATTCGTGTGAACTTGGCCAAACCAATGCGAATTAAAGAAGGATCATCCAGGCCTGGTGAGTTGATACCCGGGAGGGGAGAACATCCTTGTGGATGTTCAGAGCTTCGTGTATCAGCCTTTCTGCTTTCCCAGACCTCTGCTCTGCCTCCCATTTGGGGATCTTGAGGATCTGAGCAGCATCCTAATAATAACCAAAAAAAATCCCCCAGTTCCTTGAATGGAAACACTCTTGGCTGCACTTCTAATTGCTGTCACACCCTCTGACAGAGGGCACAGCACATGTACACGCACACCAGGGGAAATTATCCACATCTGTAAAAGCAGATGGGGCCAAAGCCATCCTGAGCAATTGCCCTGTGGGGGGGTATTTGCAGCGAACAGGCCCTGAGATTGCCCTGCCTGGTGATGTGTGGCAGCTCTGGGAGGAAGAAGAGGTGACCTTGTTCCTTATTTCCCTGCCTCCTGTGTCTTTTGGGGTAGGCTGCTGCCAGCCAAGCATTCCCACACCTCACGTGCGATCCAGCTACCTCTGCCATGCCCTCACTCGTGTGTGTGCTTCCACATGGTCCTTCAGTTTGGTTCCTGTGCTCTGACACTTCCTTTTGTCATCTCAGTCTGGTCAGATGATGAGTGGCTGAAGAAGTTTTCGGGGAAGACTCTGGAGGAGAACACAGAGGAGGCAGGAGAAGAGGCCCCCAAACCAGAGGTGCAGGAGGTAGGAACAACAGCCAGAGCCATCTGTATCCTTCCTCGTCCCAAAGACTGAGAGTGTGGGGCCAGCCATCTCTGGAGGCAGAGCAGAGCAATGTCATCTCAACTTGTTTTTTTCTTTTCTTGCCCAGGGTGAGCCTCCCACCAAGAAATCCCGGGTTAACCCTCAGGTTTACATGGACATCAAGATTGGGAACAAACCCGCAGGGCGGCTGCAGATCCTCCTGCGCTCAGACGTGGTGCCCATGACCGTAGGTGAGGAGAGGGTCAACCTCCCCAGCACAGCAGCTTCCAGCTGTGACACAGCTCTCACCTCTCTCCCTTGCACCCCAAACAGAGAATTTCCGCTGCCTCTGCACCCATGAGAAAGGCTTTGGCTTCAAAGGGAGCAGCTTCCACCGCATCATCCCCCAGTTCATGTGCCAGGCCGGCGACTTCACCAACCACAATGGCACGGGAGGAAAATCCATCTATGGGAAGAAGTTTGATGATGAAAACTTCATTCTCAAACACACGGGGCCAGGTAGAACCATCTCCCCGGGCAGCAATTGGAGAGAAAAATAGCTCAACATCATCTGAGGGCCACACCTGCGTTGTTTTGACCTAGACCACGTTGATAGTAGCAGCACTGAATTATAATCTATGTTGGCCAAATGCTTCTGCCACGGTGTAATCTGCTGTGGTCAGACTGTCACTTATCACCAGCATTCAGCAAGCAGAAATGCATCGTTCTCTCTCCATACGTGTACTGTTAATTTCCGGTATATTATATAATGGAGAAAGTTTCAAAGCTGCTTTCCCGTTTGATTTTAAAGGAGGAAAATCAGTTTGGAATCACGAAAATCAGCGTGACTATGAAAAGCAGCAAAAACCAAGCAGATTTATCTCCCTACAAACAGCTTTGCTATTATTGCAACTCAAAATAAGATGAATAGTCTCTACCCCTTTCCATTTTTCATGGTTGCAAGTGCTTCTCTCCCAGTGTAACTGGTTTCCACCAGTTTCTATGAAGTTTAATATTCAGACACTCTCCTAAAACCAGCAGCATTTTGCAGGGCAGGGGAATGGGTTTGGGTCAAAGCAGCAGCTCACATGCTGGAGCTCATTGCTCAATCCACAGATGTTAACACCATGCTTTTTGATCACAGGGCTCTTATCGATGGCAAACTCTGGCCCAAACACCAACGGCTCCCAGTTCTTCATCACTTGTGATAAAACAGACTGGCTGGACGGGAAGCACGTGGTGTTCGGGGAGGTGACGGAGGGCATGGATGTGGTGCGACAGATCGAGGTAGGGATGGTCAGGGCAGAGCCCACCTCCTTCCC